GCACAGGGGCCATGTCTAATGGAGCTAGTTCATCCCTGTTTACAGGACAGATTTCTTTTTTCACTTGCAGTAACATTCTCTTTGCACGTCTTGTCACTGTTGCGTTTCTGCAAAGTGAGCTATATTAACTCAAGCTCTTAAATAAGGCCTTGAAATGAATTAATAAAGCCTACCCCAGACTTCTATAAATTAGTAAAGCAGAAAGAAGTTGAATGGTTAAAATGCTGGGGAAACTTTGGCACAAATACTTCTAGTTTTACAGCTCATTCCAATAGAGCAACCTGCTAAACAGCAATGAAGAATGAAGCCTTGGCCTCAGTGCCTACAAGAACTGAACCAACTCAATTGGTTGGTTAAGGAACACTGGCTTCTGATTTCCTCTGATTATGCTGCAATTTATTGAAACAGATTAAAGTGAGACTCCCCCCAAATCACAGCAAGTGTGAGAAGACGTGCCTTTTCAGTCAGCAGGATTAGAAGCTGGTAGTTCAGGTACTGAGAGGCTGTGAGGATAAGGAGGATTATGTACTGCCAGATTCAGTGGTGTATTCCGAGTGCATATGAGAAGAGGACTTATTTACCTAATTAAATGAAATATCAAAGACTATGTGTGGTTTCTTAAAGCATTTGAAGATGTCCCCCGTTCCCCCTGCCCCCCCCCTCCAAATCCAGGCAGAAGCAGTAAGAATAAATTGTCAATAAGTCATGGTAACTGGAGAGTCAAAGGTCTCAGTTTAGGGAAATGGAGCTGAAAGTAAGCAACCTGGCAACAGCTGAGTTCCTCAAATGTTAAAGTGAAAAGAAATTAAGCCATTTAGATTAGTGAAGAAGAAAGGAGATAATTAACACTGCACAGCCTTAATGTGTTTAGGTCATCTTAAATACTGCCTGCATCAAATGCTATTTAGTTGACAAAACACTATTTAGAGTTGATCCTGACAGCGTGTACTAGTGTGATGGATTAAACTGTTGCCTCAGTCCTAGCAAGAACCATTTTCCAATACATTGTTATTTACATGTACTTACATGCAGCCAAGAAAACTTTCAGTACTTTTTTTTTGTTTGTACACACAAACAAATTTACTGGAATTAATTTAAACTTCTAAAAATTCAGGACAAAGGCTAGTTTCCACAAACAGTTCTTCTCCCAGGCTAAGGCGCTAGTTAACTGTCAGCCTCCTTGAAGTTTCTTTCAAATCTAACAAGTGCCATCCCAATCAATTAGCCCCATGTCTCCATCTTTTGAGGAAAAAAAAATAGGAAAACGAAGGTGACAAATAACACTTACATGCCAAAACAGAATCAGTTCAATTTTAATCACCCTTCAAACCCAAAATTTATTCTCAAACTGCACAAGAACTAATGAATACTCAACTACTTTTTGGATTTGGATAATAAGTTCTGTTTCACACTAGTAGAAGAGAGCAGTGACTTCGCAAGGGTGCCAAGGAAAGGGCCTTAGTGAGAGGACAACTGCTGAGACTATTTTCCAGAGTTCCCTAGCTTTTACCTATGATCCTATCTCTTGCTTTCCTCTATCAACCCCCACCCCAGCATACTTAAAAAACCAAACCAAACAAACCAAATAAGGTCTCAAAACAAACAACAAAAACCCAAACACAAACCTAAATCAACAGCCAAAAAACACATCAACACAAGTTTCAGCAGCAGCTGCCTACTAGAAAAGAATTCCAAAACCTGACTTATTAGAGAAACTCGCATTTGTACTTTAAAATGGGAAGCAGGAATTGTTAGCACAGCATTTCTTATGAGAACGGATAACATGACTGTAGTCAGTGATGCATTAAACAAATTTGATCTAGTTCTTCAAAAAAGAAAACCTGAATAGGAAGTGGCGTGGGCACAGAACATGAAATATAGGGTTCCAAAAGCAAGATTACTGGTGCCAACGGTAAATGGATCCATAACCTTTGTAGTTCTACTTCTCCCAGTTCTCTCCATCAGCAAAAACCACTAAGCAAACAAAGAGACATACTGGTCTGTGGTTAAAAACTTTTCTAAAAAGCAGCTAATAAAAAGCTACTCCAAACAACCCTCAAACACCTAGTCCATAAACTTGTACAAGTTCCACAGTATGTATTTAAAAAAGGGGAATCCTCACAGCTGCCATGATAAACATTATGCAGCTGGAATTCTAGTAAAAATAGTGTCATCAATTGAAATAGATAATTCTGACTGAAGTCGCAATACTTAACCATATCTTTCCTTACAAGCACAGAACTACTGTAAATGCTGGAGTGGCCTTAAATAGCTACTTGGTTGGGTCCTTCTCTGATAACCGAGGGAGACAGCTAACCTTTGAGAAACAACTCCAGATGAGGAGGGAATTAATATACTTCAAAGCAGGCAACTCAAGCAAATTGTTACAAAGACAAGCTTTTGCAGGGGAAAAAGAATGAAGGAAAGAAGAACCACCATTCAAACAAAAGAGTAGTCAAAAGTATAGTAGGGCTCCATCTAAATCTAAGACTTTAAGATAGGAGGGGAGAAGCACCTCCTATGTATTTACATAATCAGAGCTTCTATAATTTGTGCCTTTATGTTGATGTAATGGAAGGCTAAGAGAAACCAAGTTACAAATAAGAAAGTACACTAGATAGCATTTCATAGTTCTCGTTCTGTAAGTAATGGGACATAAATTAGCTGTTAACAAATAAAATACTTCCTACAGACAGTATTATCTTTCTCAATGAAGAAGGATCAGTGTATTCCCCAAGTAAATGCTGCACATCAGCACAACCCAGAGACATGTAGTAGCTCCCAACCCCTGTTATATATTACCAGAAGTTGTTCATGTTGCAACAGTTATTTTGCTTTAAATGTTTGAGATATGCATTCCTCTACATCATTTATTGATCACTAGAGAGGGAAAAAAAAATAAGAAATGTAAATGTAAGTTTAAAGTCTTACAATAATTATTCCTTCACCCCAAGGTATTTCTTTAGGCTACCAACTTAAAATTGATTATGTAAGATATGCATTAAAACAAAACACATTTTTCATTCAGAAGTTTTGCTATAGGCTTTTGTTCAACTGACAGAGTACACTAGGGAGTGTAAAAAATATTTATTCAACCTAATTCAACGTAACTATAATTTTCAATACTTAAAAACAAGATTTACAAAGGAGTAATGACCTTCTGCCACTCAGAGAAATAATTTTATAATCCATACAGTATTTTTATAATTGTATTTTTACAATAGCTTTAACTTCCAGAGGAGCCAATGAGCTTTCCCATGGAACAAGTTTCAAACCCACTAATTTGCATCATTCAATTCTTCATGAAACCTTAAAAAACAGTAATAAATTGGTTGGAAATATATACAGTGAAGACCACTGAAAAGCTGTTCTCTCGAAATGAGGAATTCTGTAAGAAATACATATTATATTGTTTCAAGACTATCTTACAGAAAGCAGCAACTGTCAGAGGTTGCTACTCTAAATAGTTGTATATAAAAGTCAGCCCACTAAGACAAATATAATCAGCACTTACAAGATTATAGCAATTCTTCAATTACAGCAAGAACCTCAAAAGTATTTGATATTGATTGCATGTATAATTTTCAATACCTGTATATTTTTTTGAATACTAGTTGGCCATTATATACACTTTTGTACAGTTCTAAAATATTACATCTCAGTACTTAAGATAAACATACTATAGAAAAGGTACCATATTTTGAATTTCTCTAACATACATTATTGCAGTCAAATATGAAGTCCCTTCTGCATTTACATAATTTCTGGTGAAAACAAATATTTACTTATGAATACTTTCACTAAAAGATTTTTTTAAACCTTTCTCCATGCATTTGACATACTAATATGAACAAGGAAAAAACCCAAACAACTTTGAGAAAAACAAATACATTGTTGTTAAGAAAAAACTTCAAGTACTAAATCTAGGTTACGTCTGGTATGAATATTAAATGGCCATATTATGTTTGTCAAAATTTAACTTCACAAAACAGTTAACTTCTGTTGAAATTAAGTTCATAAATGCATCAATAACCGAAGTGTCAATGTCTCCCTCAGCTGGCTAATTTGTAACAGTAAAGCTTACTGTACAAACAAACTTAGTTTATTACACATTTAAGATTTATCCTTTTGTCCTTTACAGAATGGAGCCAAGTTGTCTCAAGAGTGTCTAGCCTGCTGGTTTATACCATGCTCAGATTAGGTATCCGAAGTGGGGTGTCGCCCCCTTCCAGCCAATCCTTCCACTAGAATCCTTCCTGCCCTTAGAGCTGGTATGGGCAGAAGAGACCCGGTACAGAGCTGAGTTATGCGCTCAGGTCTGCAAGTTTAGAAGGATGCCCTAATCTTCAGTTTAAATACAGCTTTAGTGTCCAATGTTCTTTCCTCACACTTCTACTGCTCTTTGTACTTGTACAGATATTTACATAATTAAAAGGAACATGAAAACTAAACAAGTGCTCTAATACTTAACTATAAGCAACTGAAATTTACTTCCCACCATGTAATTATTTTACATGGAGAAAAAAATGCTATCCAGCACCACTTACAAAACAGTGAGAGCCATGAGAAAATAACACTCAGCACTGCAGAGGATACAACAGGACAATAAAAATTATAAGTAATAAGAGTCACCTGGAAGCCATGCTAATTTCAGCACCTAGTACTTAGGTGGTTAAAGCTGACATGAGTCCTGTAGAGTGATCTATCTTCTGCTTTCTGTGACCAGTCACTTGAGTATTTTACACTCCCTGTTTGATACCAGCAAAAACTAAGGAAATCATTATTGACTGATGTCCCACAATTACTTCTCCTTCATAATGACTCACATTTCCTTTCTGAAAAAAAAATTCCTTTCAGTGTATGAAACGCTGAACTGGATGATAGTGTGGGTATGAAAACACATATAGAAGAGGCATTTGGGTATAGTCTACATTAAGTACAAAATTATAAGTGTTCTTGTTCTCTAGTTGATGTTTTGTTTTGTTTTTTTTTTTTTTTTTCCATTCAGCATATTGGCTCAAAGAAAATAATTCAGAAGCCTGCTGCCCAACAGGAATACCCAAAAATAATGAAAGCCAAGTCACATTCTTAGGTTCAGTGGTTGCTGAAAGGATTTACCCTGCCACAAGACAGTGTTTTATTATATTTAAAGAAAAAAAAAAATAGGAGTAGCAACTTATCACAATTCTCCACTACTGTGCAATAATGATGGAACCAATACACCATGGAAACCTGTTAGGTGAGACTGTATGACATCTGGAGATGACAGCTTTACGCTCCTTCTTGCTCAGGATAATTTAAAATTTTGCGGTGAGCTTGACGCAAATACTGCTGCTGTTTGAAGTAAACCTTAAAAGCTCCTTTTATAGCAACAAAAGCAATTCCACCCTGAAATAAAAAGATATTTTGAAAAACTGCACAGTTCAGCATCATATAATTGCAAATGTTATTTTTAAAAATTTCTGGTCAAAGAAGATGTATTTTCCAATCATATAGCACTTTCTTTTGAAGTTTAACTAATTAGGACAATTCCCAATGAGTAGCTCAAAGTTTTCTGCACAATGCAGTATTACAGAGGTTAATGTTACTTAAAGGGATTGCATACTGGATCTATAAAACCTGAAAGCTTTTATTTGCTTGGAAGTCTGACAAATATTCTAAAAAAAAACCAACAAAACCAAAACATCCTATTTAAAGAACAAAGTAAAATGTAGATATGTATCTGCTTTCCTCCCTTCTCTGAATATTATACTATACATGGCACAAGGAATAATACTTATTACCATTCTATCATCAGACTGTGAAAAAGGCCACTTGCCAAAAGCAAGTGTGGAGTGACATGAAATCTGTTTTTTTGTAAAACAAACTTTTTTTTTTTCCAGAAAGTTTTACAATATGTTTATCTCAAGTCTTCAAAATAAGAAGAGGCACTAAGAGGCCTTTAATCTGCATGAACGGGTCCAGTATCACTGTTTCTTCCACATGGAAGAGGGGTGCATAAGCATGTTGGAATTGAAAACGGGGGCTGAAGTGACAGTCAGATGACCAGGGATACCACCTTATCAAACTCAGCGTGCTTTCCCTTGAAAGGCCATGAGCCAGAGAGATTATCGACAAAGGAAGAGATTTTCTCCCCTCCTTGTCCTTCCCCCTCACTTCGACTTCTATGGAGAGTTATTTTTCTCTCCTTATTAAAATAAGTAACAAAGGGATTCCCTCAAAGAATTAGTAAACAGAAGCTAATATGAAAGGGTTGATAATATAAACCCCAGTCTTCCCTTGCAGAGATTGTTCTTAGAAGAGGCTGGTTCCTCATCTTCATCATCACCCTTAATTACTGCTAAGATCTGCCTAGTACAGGACCAGATAAAAGTTTCGTCCTTGTCTAGAATTGAGATTAGTTTCAGTCATAAGGACAAACTCTGTCACATACATGATCCTTGTCTGCTGAAGATAGGCACCCTTTAAAAAAAAAAAACCAACACCCCCTTCCCTTAATGCCACTCAAGTTCTAGATCAATTTATGTTCCTTTTTACCGCCCTCCCCCATTCCCATATTATAATAATTTATGAAACAAACAATACTGAATCTTACCAAGATTGTCCTTTGTAAATTTGAGTTAACACTGCTGAACATCAGCTTGCCAACTATTGTGGCAATAGTAGGGAAAACTAGAGCTCCACACAGAATACGTGTGGCAGAGACATGATCTGCCAAAGGGTTGGCCTCTGCTGGAATACGAGGAACAGGACATCCAATGCCTAAAGGGATGAGAGTGGGGGAAGAAAAGATTACACAGCCACTACCTCAAACAGAACATAGAAAGCACATTAGTGCCCATCCCGACTCCATTACACATCTATAGCCCAATTACTTTGGGAACTATCCCTCTTCTCAGATGAATATTCTGTTTCCATTAAATGACTGTATTCATTCTTACTTTCACATAAGACCCATGATTTTTAGTAGCTTGTTTTGTTACTAAGGCCTTAATTGAGACCATGCTCCTCCCCCTCTTGCCCCACCTTTCTCACTAGGTGCGATATAAACACAATCTAAATAGGCTGAACATAAGATAGAGGGAAGGCATTATCCTTTACTTAAGGATGGCAAAAACTACTTGCCTATCGCTGTTTCCTAACGGCACAAATTCAAGGTTGGTATTTCCTTTTAAATTTGATCACATTACCTGGAAATATGCTGTTCAAAATTTGTAGCTTATTAGAGTATTTGCGCCACAGCCTGAGCACATAGTCCTCCCAACGAATCATCTTGCCCAATATTAGCATGACTGGGATAGTGGGAAGTCCAATCAAAAGAAATAAAGGATCAGCTCTCTCCATGACGTCAAGACCTTCTTTGTGACCCACAACCTGGTAAATATGTATATAGTTGATAAACATAAAGACCACACCTGAACAAAGAATATAACTTTTAAAAGTGCGAGTTTGTTTGGGGCTGCCCATACATTTTAAGTTAAAGAAAAAAAGAGAATAATACTGTTTTATCTAACATACTCGGTTTTCCCTTCGCGTTCTTGGTTGCTTATCGAGTATAATGCAGATGAACTACCAGCCCTAGTTTGCAAGTCATTAATCTTGCAGAGAGCTGTAACACAATTCCTTACCGTCTCAAGAAAAGTTTCATGCGCTTCTGTGTAAGAAAGCTTAAACGTCAAAATAGCCTGCTTTCCAGAATGCATAGAAGGATTTACAATTTTAGAATGATTAATTCTACAATCAGAAATTGATTAGATACTACTCTAAAGGATAAATTGATAGCAAGTATCTCAGGATGTTTTAATAAAAAATTTCTGTTATTTAGGAATACCTTATGGAACAGATCATAGTATAAAGAAGTATTGCTTCTCTAGACAATGCAGGAAGAGGTACATTATTTTCAACTGTAGTGGAAATAGCATATCTTCACTTGTACCTTATTTTTAAATGTGGTTAGTGCTACACTTTTAAGGGACAGTCATTACTGATGTGTCTAAACCTTTCTACTGGCACATAAAAAATAATCAGACTTTGCAGTTTATAAAATGTAGGTATTAAAACTGTAGCAGAACAGTGCCTTATGTTTCCCTAAAAAGTACATACTGTCTATTTTAAATAAGTAACTCTAAGGCTCTAGTAGGGCTGAGGACAAGAAAAAGAAATTGAAGTCGTAGACATCCTCAAGAGTTGTCTCCATTTAAGAATTACTAAATGCTAACAAAGTCCTTGAAACGCTTCTAGAAAGAACATGCTCTTTCATGACCTTCTCCATCAGAAATCCAGGAAGACTAAAACCACTAAAATAATAATTATTACATTTGTCAGACATTGGATTTCCTGATGTGTTTTCATTTACTTCTTGATAGCTTTTCACATTTGTGGGGAAAACAAGTCTTCACTTGCATAAAACTTAGAATTAGGTGGTAAGAACATACAACAATAGCATAATTAGAAAAAACAAACAAAACCCAGTATTTCTGGAATAGGCAGGACACAGAAGAAGCTAGGGTCATGTACCACAGTACCTTCAAACTGCACTTTTTAGCCTTGCTTTGAAAACCATTCCATTCTATTCTTCTAGAACAGGAAGTTATGTTATATACCACAGCCTCTAAAAATAGCCATACCCAATATCATTGCTGCCAAAAGATTATTTCTTAAAAAAATATTCAGCATTTGTCTTCCAGCTTCTTCACCATCTTCCCCCCAAATTACGATGTCTGATGCTATCGTTTTTCTCCTTATAGTCCTAGTCCATCAAAAAAGCCTCAGTGTGTTGTCTCTTCTGCTTTAGATTACTATTTCTCTCTGTTTTCAGTAACCCCATACAATTTGTTACTGACTTAGCTACTACTGGAGTCACAATGCCAATTCTGTATTTATTTTTCTCCATATGAAGCTTAACCTTTAAAAATAGTTTTTGTGCTTCTCTCGGGCTCTTCAACTGAAAGAAAGGAGTCTGAAATACATCAGGAAACAAGTTGCATTAAACCTAGCAAATTTGGGGTTGCAAAAGGGGTGGCACAGTTTCCCTCCACTTCTAGTTTAACCTCCTTCATTATAAGCAAATTTAAATTATTCTTTTCCCCAGCATGCCATCCATATGATCAGAAAACATTAAATCAGAGGAAAATATCTCATTCTTCATACCAGGGATTTGAACAGCTGTCTAAACTAATGTTTAGACAGATCCTCATTTCAAAAGCAAAACAACTACAGAAAGGAACATTTATCTTTCCATTTAGTTATGTAGTTCTAGAGAAGCTAAAAAGGTCATGTACGTTCCTACAGAAAAAGCCTCAGTCTAGCAGTGAGCAAGGAGATAAGGACTAGCACATTTCACAAAGTCTAGCTGTAGTATTACAAATGGTTGCAATGTTCATGGTAAGGGCCACAACAAGAACAAAATATCAGACGAGGAAAATCCTAAGTGTACCACTGGGTAATATACAGCCTCATCCACTGAATGGAGGAGGTATTCAAAGTTATTATACATCACTTATGCAGCCACTTGACCCTGGCCACACTGGTACCAGGGAGACGGCACCAACTCATTTGGGCTCCACTTCAAGTGATTGTCATATACATTTCTGCTACAAACAGAACCAGAATAGCACACTCTCTTGAGACTTGTAGAACTGCAGTACCATACAATTAAAGAAAAAGTAAGTAGAAAAAGTAGTGCCATATGACTTACATGGTTAAGGATTATGTTGTGTTTTTAAAATTAGAACTGTGTAGAGGAATACTTATTAGAATACAGATTTGTTAATTCTATCTACAACTGAATTAGCATCAGAAATACTTTTATGCTTTCAGGCAACACACAGGTTATGGGTTTGATATAGGAATCAACTAAAATGGTAACAAAAGTTCTTCTAGCTGTACAATCTTTGAAAACTCTTGTCTGGTTGAACTAGGAGAGCTGTGAACAAGTCCTTCCATAGTTAATAGTCTACCACCTGTCAACGTTATTTTTATATTTAAATATTAACTTCACAAGAATGGAAGTAGGAAAAATAAGTATTTTTTTCCCCCTTTCAACTAACCATACAGTCTGAAGTAATAAAAGAACGTACTATTAACTTGTGGTGTTTTGCATTTGTTGTTTATGAATGAACCGCACCATTTGGAGCATGCATTTTCCTTTATACAATAAAGAAGTGGTAGAACTGAAAAATTCACCATGTCTCAACCCTTTGAATGTCACCAGCAAAATTCTCCTGCAGGTAAAAGAGATTGGTCTCATGTCTTTTCTGAAGAATTAAACTACCCATTATCAGCAGTTAGGTGGTAACGGCACCTCTTGTGTAAGAACAGAAGTGGGTTCACCAGCCTGCTATACAAAGGGCAGCCAGCTGCAGTAGTAGTGAATTTTGTTAGTTGCAGACTGAATCATATTTGAACAGGCTTTATACAGTATGATCAGTTAACAGTGAAAAGCTTTCCATCCACCCATCTTGAATTCACTTGTTAACTACACTGGAAGAGCTGAAAGCAGCTAAAGCATGTTTTAAGCCAGGAAAGAACAGTCTTAATTGACTTTTTCTTTAGAAGACCTGCTTTTGAAGCTGGTAAGAAGAGGGAATGCATGTGTACCTGCATCACTGTCACAGCTCCATACGTAACAGCTGTCCAGTATATAGAGCCCACCATTATTCCAGCTGCAGCAAATGGACATGCCTTAGAGATCAGTCGATCTGCAAGATCCAAAACGTAAACAACCGGACCTATGATAAAGGAAAAGTAAGGTTTCAAGATATATACGTATACAAGCATACTGAAGAAAGCTCTCAGCATCTATCATGGATAAGAAAGAATGAACTTGGCAAAATGCAAGTCTGACATCCCACACAAGCTGTTTAAATGAGAGCATATAATTAAAAACCTACTAAGCTAAACTTGTAACTTATTTCTACCTACCATTTCATTCACCACAACATCTTCCCAGGAGATTAATAAAAGTGGTTAGAGCACTGACTAATTTACCCGCTAAAGTTTACTAGCTTCCTTTGTCTGTGTTGAATCAGGATTTTTCTGTTGTAGAAGCCATTGTAGCCTTAATGGCTTTTTAGTTAAGATACTTTAGTTTTCAAAAGGAAGAAATACTAATTACTTGTAATGTACTTCATGTGCTTATCTTTGACAGATTCACCTGAGAATTCTGTCACTAAACTATCCTCCTCAACAGTAAAAAGGAGCACAGTCAATATGAAAGATGCCTTCCACTGGAAGAGACTGCATTCAATATTTTTTGAGGATCACCTCTCAAATGTTGGAGGAAAACCCCCTCCTATTCAGGTTATTTAGTGCCTTTGACAACAATGCATTAATAGAGTTTCGTTCTTCTGTCTGTGAACAACTGCACTTTCCAGACTTACACAGAACAAGACAATACCCTGACCAGTGCACAAGGGCATGCTTGCATCTTTTCTTTGAGAGACTGCAAGAGCACCAGCAACGCAAAAGCCAGAAGCTGAAGTCTGAAGTGTACCCATGGAAGTGAAAAATGTCATCATCGTGATCAGATTCCATATTACTTTTGGTTTTGTCAACAAATTCTACATACAGACTGTCTTCCTCCAGCTCATACATATGAATAGTTCTTCTTAGCTCCCTCCTACTTTTTCCTACCAAAATCAGTGAAAATATTAAAGTTATTCTAAAAATAAGCCTATAGACATTCTTCAAGTAATTAATCCTCCATGCCTCTGATCACGGTTTACCCACTGGTGTGGTAAGGAAGGAGTGATCTCCTGAGTAATGGTGTTAAATGACTTCCTGAAGTCCTGATATACTAGATGTACAGGAATTCTGCTAGATGAATTGCCAGGCTAGTTGGCATGCTCTGTTTTGTATACCGATCCTGAGTTGTATGCTATTTTCCTCCTGACCTCCAGTTAATCAAAACTTGTTCTGACCTTGCACAGAATTAAGAAGATAAGGTGCCAAGGATTTTTCTTTTTTACCTTTCTAAAGGTAAATGTATTGTATTTGGCATTCTCCAAATATGCCAAGTTCTCTTGCAGTTCAATTTTAGCTTAAATACTCCTAGTACATAACAATTTCATATTCTTATTTTTTTGGGGTGGTGATAACTTAGCACCCTGTTCCCCAAAAGATTGTTTCTGAACTACCATATTTACACCAAATGAATTAAAAACTGTGCATTTAAATGTACAATCAAGATTTGAAATTCACATAAAGACGCTTGCAGAAAATTTATTTCCGTCAGCCACACTGAGAAAATTGTGACTCCTGTTTCATGACCTGTTGATTCTTCTCTACAAGAAAACAGCTCTAGTATGAATGCTTTCAAAACAACCAGTTCTACTCAGCTCAAGTCAGCCAATGAAAACAAGCAACAGGAACATCTACTTGAACTCATTAATTGTCATGTTTTATCAGCATTGGTATTCTTGCAAAGCACTTCCAAATGCATTTGTTTTGTGGGTAGGGGCGTTGGTTTTTTTTTTTTTCAACTTTTTTTTTTTTTTTACATACACAAGTATGTGTGCAAATACCATACTGAAGAGCTGCAATTTAAATACATTTAGCTTATATGCAGTCTTGACAGAAGTCATTGTAAATACTGCCAAGTTATGTATCAGACTAGTGGGCAGTCCTAAGCAACTGGGGCAGAATGTTGCTTAATGTACCCTCTATTCTAGCTCTGCTGGAGCCTCAAGTTCTTAATCTACTACTAATGTACTTTGAATTGGTTACCTTTGCGTGCATCTTCTAGTACAGCATGCATTCTTTGTTTTAGTAGTAAGCTCTAGTTTTAAGGGCAGGAAGCATCTTCCTATGTGCCTTGTAAGACAGTAAACACCTCACAAACACCCTGCTTCAAATATACCAACCGACGTAAATTAGTTCGTAAGTAGTTGACAAAGTGTAATTATAATTTATTCTCAAGTTGAGTATCCTGTTATTGATTAGGTACCAAAATTAAAGGGTTTCTGAAGAAGGAACACTCAAAATACAAAGAACTGGAACAAGCAGTTGAACTGTATTAACAGTTATGTTTAATTTTCCAGGATAGACTTAAGAAAGTGCTGAGATGTCTATCAATGTGCTGAAAGTAGCAACAAGGTCATAACTGCAAGTACTAAAATGCACAGTAATTAACACATCTTGACTGTTTCCCACAGGCACTGACAAAGTTGTTCAGTTGTACCATTTTGAAAACTTACATTTATTTGAAGAAGGTGAAGACAAGAGACTCAAAACCCCATCATATTTAGTAAGTCCTAAAGGGCAATACAAAACACTGAAGCTTGCCTTATACATCTTGGCAAGGTGATACAGCAACAGCAGAAATCTAACGCTAGAAGTACTTACAACTTACACCTACTGATATTAATCATTAAAAGAAGCAAGGTACAGAATTAGGTATAGAATCTTGAGAAAAGACTAGAAAAACATTGTTTCAATAATATTTTTTTAATTAGCACTTTAGGAAAAAAGTAGCAAGAAAGGAGGACAAATGTGACTGCTTCTTTTAAGAAGTATTAAGGAAGAAGCAAGAAATTAAGTGTCACTGACATAGAAATTAAGAAAATACAAAACAAAAATATTTTTCATTTTGTAAAAAAATGTTATGCTTTAACAGAGCTTTTTCTGCCAAACTCTTTTCTATTTATTAAACTAAATTATCTAAAAGATACTTTGGTTACTTCCAAAGTGGTAATAATATTTTCCTATTTAAGAAAAGAAGTTCTCGAAGAGAGGAAAACAGCTAGTAAGAACATAGTTACTACAATCTCCAAAACTGATATGAACTATCAAATTTGAAATGGAATTATAATTTTAAGAAGGTATGTCACTGGGGGGGTTGAATTGGTAAATACCTAAAAGACAATCACTGTTTACTTATGAAGATAGTCATTGATGTCTCCTCAAGTTGCTATTACTTCAAAACTATAATCCTAAATAAAAAAAGTTGTATTAGGGAGTGCCCTTTCACAGAAATTTTTCTTTAGAAAAAAGTTTCCAGCAGTACATTAGAGAAGTCTTAATATAAGTAAGTTTCTAGGCTACGATACCTCAGGGAAACTTTAGTTGTTACTTCTTCCCTGTTCAAGTAATTTGTTTCTTGAATGGTATGACTAGTAATGTCTTCAGAAGATACCTGCTGCAGTAGACATGGGGCTACCGGCAAGACTGAGAACATCTTACTGTCCTAACTCTGCCTGCTGTGACCTTGACTGACTTATAGTTGAGTTGTAATACAGCAGTTTTGGGTTACTAGAAAGAGCTACAAAAGGGCAAGGCTGTCTCACTTGTTTAAGGCACTTCAAGCTCACAATTGATGGAGCCAAATTCATTTCCCTGCTCTATTATAGATGTCTTGAGTACTCCTACACAAGTCTGAATTTTTATGCCCTTCTCACTTTAAAAGTGGAAAAAGGTAGTATAGTATAGTGTGTATATATATATAGTATAGGGAAAATGCATCAGAATTGCATGCGTGCTTCAAGTTTTGTGGTACGTTCTAGGTGTCCAGATATAAAACCTTTTTTCCCCCCCAAAGCCAATGCTAAATGTTATCATTTGATGCCTTCTTTATGATGAGATTAAGATTCCTCTCTACCTTATCCTTATAGCAAAGCTGAATTGTGGTTGTTAAACTAATAACTTGGTAGCGAGTTTCATGCTGGTTTATGTTTTCTTGAATATCAATGATATACTAGTCCATATTTTCTTTCACATTACTCAGTGTTCTATCACAGAAGTAAATGTCATCATCCATGTAAAATTCCCTTCACTCCTTAATGTTGTCAGCCCTTATACTAACAGAAAAGAGATCCTGTCCTGAAGCACTTGACAGTGCAAGTTATTTTCAGCTGTTTCATTACAGAAATAAGATACCTAAAAAAAATAATCTCTAAAATCCTCTAAATGCCTATACTCATGATATATCAGCACTTCTTTAACAAGCAGTTTTACTTTTAACCAAAATTTAGGTTTCCATGGCAACATTTAGTTTTCTTGCCCTACTTAATATACCCCATAGAACATGGGAAAGCAAGGGCTCGAGTAACAGCAACTACTGCTAATTTAAACATATGCAACCTATTGTGCGGTGTCCTACTTGGCTCCTCAAGTAAGTAGACTCTGGAAGACCATTTCCAACTTTTTTCTTTCACCTTGACAAACAGAGCTAGAGCTAAAGCAGTGCCTAGCCACCACAGATACGCTGCTGCTTGTATGTAGGGCAATATAGACTCAGGAATACCTCCCAAACCAAGTAAAAATATGTTTTTCAGGTAACGCAAAAAGTTGCTCAGTAAGGTTCTCTGAATTTCTTTTGATAACAGGTTCTCTGCAAGATGAGGAAAAAAAAAGGGGATGTGTTTCTGTGGTAATATGTGGCAATTGCTGAAAGTTGCCACCCTCTGCTCAACAATAAAAGAAAAAAAAACTAACACATTAACCATAAATTAATTATAGGTCAATCACTTTTAAGGCTTATCAATATAGTTAAGTGGAACACATCCAAAATTTTCAGAAGGTATTTAACTAAACCAAATGGGACATAAGCAGAATATAAAGTTATTTCTCCCTGTCTGGAAAAGGGAATAGACAAGTTTTCAATAGAGCCGATTCTCTGAACACAAAAAAGGAAAAAATAAGTGGGAACAATATAAAGAAACACACCATTATATTATTATGACATACATATACATATAATTATGACATTATTAAGTCATACATATCTTACCTAGCTTTGGAAATACTATTAAATATTCTGCATTGCACTGAGGACAAGCAACTCTAGCAGTACTGTTTCCTCTCTGCTTTTCATCCACCCAGCGCTGTAGACAAGTCTGATGAACCCATTTCGTAGAGCCCCTGCACCTGCAAGGTCTCACCCATTCTGCCGTCCGATCATCCTCATCAGTAGCAAAACAAACCCAGCAGCTTCTGTAATTACAGGAAGGAAAAAAGATTTTTTTTTTTTTTTTACTGTTACGTGCTTCAAAATAAACTTTCAAATGTAAAAGCATGTAGTTTTAGAAAAAGTGCACCTAGAGGAGATGATGCTTGTTGCTTCATTTTTAATCACCAAAAATATAAGTATTTTGTACCACAGTATTGTTCTGGTATTAACATAATATTACAGACAGCTAAACAACTGCTTTTAATACACTGCAAATTACCAATTTAACTTTTAGATAATTATGAATTAAAAAGCATCTAGACTGTTGTTCAACCTCTGAATAATTCAACATATGAAAAATCCATGCATTTTTAAATGTATCTCCTCTTACAGCAGTCATTTATTAAGTTTTTAAAACTAAAAATGTAAGATCAATACAGTAGTCTGTTACTTGGGAGACTAACTCCACTTAAATGACAAAACAACACAAATGATACATTGTATCACAAAACAAACTGTAAATAATTATATTCAATTCATTCCCTCTCTTTGAAAAGCAAAAGTACTTCATTCTGATAAATCTGGCTTGTATTATCTAAATTAAGTTACAAAGTACTTCAAGAATACTATTATAGCACTAGAGGAGAAAATTTCTACACTGAAGAATTATCAGATGTATGGTTCAAACTTATTACTTCTATAATAAGAAAACACAAGACTGACAGTCTAGGTGACCTGAAGAGAGCTCACATCCCAGCAATTCCCAGATATCTGACCTGATGATTAGGCCAGACCCTTGAACACCTTTCAGCTTGCAAAAGGAAGTAAAATATGCATCTAAACTAGGAAAATATCTGATATGTTGACCCAATAATTTAGTTTTTACTGTGAAATAATTCGCTAATTCCAATACTGAAAATACTGAAGTTTAGATAATAAACCAGAACCTAACAAAATAAGGATCTTACTACAGAAATAATCTGGTTCGATATATTTAAAGTATTTTACACAAGGTATTGCAGTCATAGTTATACCTTTATAAAAGTGTATGGCAACAGCATCCCTATAATTTAACTAGATACATTCTAATTAGACATTATGCACTAACTTAAGTTTTGCAGCATTATTTTGATGCTGAAGTTTTGTTCTCTTAACAATTTGAGTAACATCATTAAGATAAAACAGTGAAAGGCTTCTTATGTGTAACCACTAACAGACGGTAATTGAGATAGTAAGCCAAGAAATGCTCTGGCACTACTAAACAAAATAATATTAAGATTCAAGAATCATTATAGTAGTTTCTGTGGGGGTGTTACAGCAGTTCATGGTGCTTTTCCTCTCCCTCCCATAGGATTTATTGTCAGTAATAAACCTTCTTCCTAGCCTTTTAAACTCCTCAATCAAATCTTTTTCCTTTTTTCAGCTTCTCAACTACTTCTCACCTCTATTCCCTTTCCCTCTCATATTTTTTGTTTGTCTGCCCTTTCTGCATCCCATCTCTAACCTTTGTCAGCATCTGGGAAGAGAAATTATAGTTTAAGAGTCCCCTCCAACTCCAGTCATTTTGCCAGATTGTCATATTCTTTCTGACAGAAATCAGTGCTAAATAGTTATGTCAGCAAACTGACATATACATCCTGAAGGTCCTTCCCCTGCACCCCCTTCCAAAAAAAACCCCCAAAATGGCAAAGAAACATTTGTAACTAACTAAAGCTCATTAGACAAAATTTAGAAGGGAATTATATGCACAGCAAGGGCCAATCCCACTAGAGCCACTTTCAAAGCAACAAAAATACAGTAATTCTGTTAAAAGGTCATTATTTTCTCCCTAGCATGCCACTTGTAAACAGGTTGGGGAGGGAGGGGGGGGCTGTTTTTGTTTCATTTTTAACTCCTCTATAAGGAAAAAATTAGGGGGGAAATTTACAATGGGAAACTTGAATTTTGTGAGACTCAAACTTGAAGTAATGAGAAATATTGTTGTCTAACAGCTTCCTTTTATGACCTCACTATTTTGGATAGCATTGTATTTGTAAACCGACAATGTTTCTCTACAGAAGAATAACCATCTTTTGTTTACAGGAATAACTGTGCCTATAGAATATCTGCAAGAGATTATTTTAAAGCACTGAATCTTCTTCTGATTTATAGTGGTGGAAGTATACTGAAATTAAGTTGCGAGCATGTAAGAGTAGAACATAGCCTGTAGCAACTTAATACTGGCATACTTCTGAAAAGGAACACAATCTGAGATGCAGATTCCAGGGAAGACAGCAGGAAAAGCAATTTAATATTGAATAACAAATAAAACAAAGATAACTCGTGTCCAGGTGTAAGTACTGAACATATTACGGTAGGTATAGATGTAAATTTTTAACATTGGTGCTCTAAAACTAAAGCTGCATCAATTCTGATTCAGGAAGACTGTTCAGTTGGAAGACCAACATCTTAAATCAGAACCGCAATTTCTTCCATTCGTCCTAATGGGAAGGTAAAAGGAGTCTGACTTTGCTTCTTTCTGTCCTTCCCCACAACATCTGTTTAAATCAGAATCGTCATGTTATACCCTCCTGTAATACCATCCCTCTTTTCATCCTCATGCTCCCGATATGCACCTACAGCAGTCCTAAATGGAAGGACACAATAACCTTCCTAAGCAGGAGGAGGAAAGACAGCCAAGCCACAAGTTAGTAGGAATCTAGATGAAAATGCTGAGACGACCACAAAGATTTGAAAGTATTACGAAGCATGGAAGACATTTTGATTCATTGCACTTGATATCAAGGAGTTCTTAATGCAACTTCTTGCAATGTTTATTAATTTTCTGTTTACACCAAGAATCCCCAAGTTTACTGTAAGAACAAACAATACAACTCTACTGATAATTGTTCCTCTCTGACATTTTTTTCTGCTGCATTAAAGGTAAACATTCACTGATCCATTCCACATCCTATTTAGGTGTAAAACTGCTCTAGATTTGTAACTTAGATTTTTATTTTTAAACAAAAGGCTTCACAATAGATCAAGTTAGGTCTGCGGGTGCCGGTAAGGTCAGATGCCACATACCACAGAACTCTATAATAAAGTTTATTCAAATAATGATAGATTTAAGCCTGAACGTAATCTTGTTACACTGTGATTTTAGCTAGGGAATTTGGCCATGAATACTCTGTAGATTAAATTCTCTTCAAGTTTTCTGTTAAGGTTAATAAGTCAAGAAAAATATGCATCTTTTCTTTAATTGCTTCATTCAATTTCTTGCCAGGCAATCATATCTGAAAACCTGGAAGACCCATGAAAAGAATAACAAAATCCTTTACAGACTTAAACCTTTAGCAAGTCATGAATAATGAACAGTAAATTCCTTGTATTCTGTCATCAGCTTTATCTCTTTCCATTGACAGCAGCTGTAGCAGAAAGGGCTAAATAAAACCATTTCAAAACAAGTATCTTGGCTCTTGCCAGATTTTCCATTTTCTTGTACTGAATAACATATGACCTTGATTCTTACCACTGAATCAGGTTGCTACTCAGATAACCTGAAATAGAAAAGGCTGACAAGGTGGAACAAAGCATTGTTTCTGATAGAAACTCAAACCTTTTTCCTTGATGACTTTCTACAGAGCCAAATCAATAACACTAATGTATTTTTCCACTCTTTCTTGGCTTAAAAAAAAAAAAAAATATCAAAACAAAACATACACAAAACCCATGCCAATATCATTATTTCAGCTTTGAATATAGGGTTACAAATGCCTTTTAGATTCAGCTCCCCAGCATGTAAAGCTCTCCGGTGTCAAAAATTATGTTCTCACTCTGAGAATATCTCATTTATTGCATCTGCTTTTTTTTCTGTACCAAAGACAAACTCTTCTCAGGACATTGCATATGGTAAGAGCAAAGCGGATGGAGAGGAAGTTGTATTTAAGACTAGAGATCCTACACTCCAAATGCTGTATGACTAATCTAGAAAGTCAAGGCCTGCCTAAGAACAGGTTTCTCCAAACAATGAGTTTCTAAACAGTAAGGATGCCACTGTCTCCTGTACCTGGCTCCAACACACCTGTAAGATCCTCTGGCACCAACAGACATATCTAGACCAAGACTGCTTTCTTTTTCATTGAGTTATACTCCTAAAGGTTACTTTTTTCCCAAACCAGTCTCAGATGGGACAGAGGACAGAATCTAATTCATGTTATTTAAATTAAATCTGCCTCAGTCTGTGGGAGCTGAATTAGTAGTGGTTTCAGCAGCGTTAAGGTTAATGATTGGACTCAATGATCTTAAAGGTCCCTTCCAACCTACACAATTCTATGATTTTATAATACAGCTTTGTTTTCAAGCAGGCAATACAAAAAAGTGATTTAAAAGCAATATGTTAATTATATACACACTATAGTAAGAAGTTTGCAGAAATCTTTAATGCCCCATAAGCCCAGCATATATCCTTGTGTCCCCAACACTTAATGGAAGATCACTTGTGAGACTGGGACAGCACAGCTGCTTTATAGGCTGGTTTCAAATATTCGGTACTGCAAGACAGAATGCAAAATGTCTTGGAATTTTTTCCCCAATGCACAGTGGCACACATGTATAAACAGCAAACAAAACCAGAAAAACTTTTGAGAAAAGAAAGTTCTTGCAAGACTTGTAGCAGGACCTAAGCCTTACCATGGGAAATGCAAATTTCAACATACATGACATGCTCTAGAGCCATGAGCTAAAAAGCATTTTTCCTCTCATTACACAGCCTCATAAAACATAAAAAAAAAAAATCTCTTTAAGAAAACTTTTCTGCATTTCTCTCACATCCTGAAGCACATCATTTTCTCTTAAAGGGGCAGGAATTTGCTGATACCTTGCTATCAGAGTAAAGCATTCTTGTTCTGCTAAGCAGTAAGTGACTGAATGGATTATTGCAATTGAATTTCACACCCAAAAAGAAAAAGGCAAAAAGGCTGAAACATAGCTGATAGCAATGAGAGCACAGAGAGCCAACGCAGTGAGGGGTGAAAACGTATCTTGGAAGAAATGACTGAAAGCACTCCAATAACTGGCCATAAAAAGGCACTGTTCCAAAGGACGACCTACAAATCTGCTGTTTGAAGAAGGCAATTTTTCATGAGCTTCTGAAACAAATTTTTATGCATAGTCTATACTGACAGATAAAATACCTTTGATGAAGAATAGCGATAGGCTTCCACTAAACCTGCCAACTACACTCGAAATACTATACAATCATGTTTAAGTGGGAAGACTTGGATATTGGAAACATCAAGGGAGTTACCTAGCAGCACACAACACCGGCTGCTTTGGAGCTGCCTAGAATTTTAGTAGGGGAACATAGCAAACTTCTCTCAAAAAGAGAAACAATGCATTGCAAATGCTACTGCTAAACACTTCCTTTAGCTGCATTTGAAAGAACCAGCAGAAATAAAATTCTTGTGTTAGAGGGCATGACCTGGTCACGAGAGAATGCAAGCCTCACACACACCAGAAAATACTTTTATCTTCAACCCAAGCTCTATCTAACTAAAAAAATCCTTACACTATCCTAAGGGGAAAAACCCACACACAAACAGAGCGAGGAACAGAGATACCAGTGCAAAAATAGTAGTCTTAGATGCTCCATCATGACTTCTGTGGATCGTTTTTAAGGCAGCATGTGGCACAGTAGCCATATGCCAGCCTGGATCATTCAACTAGAAAACACGCTGTCGGCTCAAAACAAAGTCTAGAATCTTGAAAGGAAGTTCCTGAAAGTCATCTGACCTAATACCCCATTCTGCTCTGCCTGGTCATCAAGGATAGGGTGTAATGCTGAGTAAATAAGAAGCTGATGATAATCTCGAAACGATAATAACTAACCTTTACAACAGAAGCAGTGCTTTGAAAACAGCAGGGAAAGGTTAAATAGAGAGTAACAAGCTAATGTTGGTGTGAACGTATGGCCACACAAGGTAGGAGGCCATATAGGTTGTAACTTCCTCTACTTACAGCATAGTGTTGTTTAAATTAGATTTTAATAAACTTTTAATAAAAGCCCATGGATGTCTAAAACCCAATAAGCAAACACATAAAAACAAAACATAGAATAATTAACTAGAAAGTGTACCAGAAAGATCTAGTGATTACCAGAAGTTCAACTTAAACTTATTTATATATTCTCAATTATAGCTCCAATTAAGGAGAAATATTTTACACTTGAGTTAACCACACTATATAAAGGCAGAGATATGAGTAAAGGACAGTTCACAGAATCCTGCTGGCAACTTTCTAGCTTGTGGATAAAATTAAATCTTTGACTGCCAGCCACCACCTATTGTGCTTGAATCATGCCTTACAAGGTTTTTATTGCCCTTGCTTCTACCCAGCTTAGAATAAGAAATCTCCCACAGATTTAGTTATCTCATTGGGTTTTAGTCTCTAGTTTGTCAACCAGTTATTCAGGCATATCCCTTTTGCAAAGATTTCAAAATTCAGTTCTCTTAAAGGCTTTCTTTAATATTACCATACTCTCACTTTTTCAAAAGGAAAATTTGAGAAGTTTCCAAGGCTCAGCGGCCTCGCTGTGAGCCTCTAAATGTACAAACTTCCCTGTTACATTTGTTTTGTTTCTTAAGGGAGAGAGGGAAAACAGGGCCCTCCTACAACTGTGCAAAGGATAAATCAGGTAAAACTATTACTCATACAATAAGCATCTTATTAATAAAACATTACATATTTTTCTAATTAAACTATTATTATACATTAGCAACATGGCATACAACTCTAACAATTTAAGCTACTGAGTACCTGCTAGGAGGCAGTAACACTGATTCTTACCCTCATGTTTAGGAAGAAAAATAAAAGTGACTAAAACCAAGTGGGGAAAAAAAAACAACAAAACCAAAACAAAGAACCCCATACAGGCACACAAAACAAGTTACTTCCAAAGCTGAAATACGCCTTGAACAACATGATTTGAAAAGAAATGCTGAACCCTCAGTCAAGTATGTACATACATAGCAAACACTGAAGAATACTAATAGCATTAAGGTAATACCTTAGACTTTTCATGGATTTTTTTTTTTTTTTATAATGCAGATAGCATACCATATAGGGAAAACATTTTCTTAAGCACTGTTTGACAATGCTGTCAATAATCACAAACACAGAAAATGAGATATGAAGCAACTAGCAAATTATGTTTTAGAGGCTAAAGTCACTTCCTTGAATTTTTTTTTAAACATCTTAATTATGTATTAATTGCCTGTTATAGTCACAAAATTGTATAGCAGTATGTCTGAAAGCTCCTCCTGATGAGGAAACTGAAAACTAGAAAAAATTCCTTTAAGTCTCAGCTTCTCTAAATGTCTAATTGCAGAGTAGCATAATGTCAAGATACAACTGAAGTAGTAAGAGGCTCAATGCTAGAATTCATATACTAATATTCATCCTCGCTGAAGAAAGAAAAGCTCTTAGCATGTTCAAGACACTGTGAGAACTCTGGATGGCAAGAAGATCACATGCAGCCTTCTCTAACAGATAACGTAACCTACTAGGAAGGTAGGACACCCAACTACTGACACACCAAACTGATTTATGTACAAATAAGATTATTTCGAGGAGGATGGATTATTATTTGAGGCTAAAAAAAAGTTCTAGCAACACCGACAGATTTAGCAAAGGAAGACAGCTTCAGACCTCAAAGTACTCTTAAAAGCCATTCTTGCTGTGATTCATGTGCAATCTACTGTATGAAAGTCTTACAGCAGTCCTCACTCCCTAGGGATATGACACATTTCACCATGTGCTAAACTGTGGGGTTTGGCTGTCTCCATGGCTTCCAATACATCAGAATTTCTTGCCAGACAATAAAAGTATAACAAACAAGTAACCATATATCTGTCTAACTTCAATCATTTGAGGCCTCCTGGAAAAAGTATCTTCAACTGTGCCCTCAATCGCAGTCATCATGACCTGAATTCTACTGTTTTTGAGAAGAAAAAAAAAGCACTTGCATAATTGTTTTCAGTAGCTCAGTCAATACCCTCTACAGTTAGACAATGACACTTAAATTAAAAAAATGCATAACAAAAATTGTGGGGGAAAAAACCCAACAGAACACAAAACCTCAATGGAGCAGTGCACAGAAAATTACTCACTTGGCTCTCCAACTTATTAATGCTAAATGACCACAGTTAAAAAGAGGATAGGGGAAAATTTGTGTGAAAAAATATCAATGCAGGCAGCACAAATTTGATCTGAAACTCTAGAACACAAGACTTTGTTTCTTAGTCAAGAGAGACTCAGAGTATGCTATGATGCTCTAAGATACTGCTATAGCTTAATTACATATACAAAGATTCCCCAGTCAATGTTCCCAGAAAACAACTTCCTAACATTATGGAAGAATTAAAAAGATTAGCATTGAGGCTAACCTTAGTATCAAACCAATTCTGCTTACAGCATACTGCTTGCTTGAAAACAATGCCTACAGACCAAGCACTGCACAACTGCTTCTTTGCTTTGTCAGAATTCTGACAATTAGCTGTGCCATTCCATGAGCAAAACTATATCCATTTTTAGGTCTATTAACCAAGACGTAAGTTAAAGCGAGTGTTTGGTCGACTCAAAGGAATTTAACTTGAACCTTTATTCCTTCAAGTTCTGAGACAAGGGATAACAAGCATTAGTCCTTCGTAACTCCTGGAAGATTTATTTTTCCATAACAGAAGGTTAACATTTACTTACTAGCTTCCTTAATCAAGCACTAACCATATCTGTGTTTTCAAAGGTTGGTATCAAGATGTTTTTCGTCTGCTGTTTTAAACTGGAATGTTAAATACAATTCCCAATCTCAAGAAGAAAAAAATATGTCGTTTCTATTCAACTAGCATTAAACAATGTTACTTTGCACTGGGGGAAAGGGGAAGAGAGTTGCATCAGAAAAATACCAATACTGGTATTTGTGGTACGCGTACAGAGTAGATGACAGATGTTACAAATCAGAAGCGACATACATACAGAATAGACCAACTCTGACATGTCTAAAACTGGAACCGTCTTGACATTCAGCTGTTGCTGTGACAAGCAAAAGATAAAAGACA